TAGTAGAACAGAATATAGTTCACGAGAGAAGTTCATTTGAAAAGGACGAATTGTTCGAGATCTTCTGGATCTTGGGTTATTTTAATATCATTCAATTTATTTTCTTGAAAAACTTTAGTTAATTTTATAAGTCCTTCTGATGCGTTGCCAGTAAATATAAGACATTTCTGATTGAAGCCAAGCTTTCGCACTTCTGATATAAGACGAACACCAGCATCATTTGATGAACTCTCATTATCTCGATTCATATCGGTGACAATCCGGAAAGTATTACTATGTTTTAATCGTTTTCCAAATTCCGATCGAAGAAAGGCAAGTGCAACTTCAGTGGTTGACTTTGGAATAAAATGAACATTGACTTGAGTACCAAGGGTACTTGCTTTTTCCATATGTCCTTTGTTCTCCCACCATTCATCAAATATATGATCATCAACCCATAATACAACATATTTGCAAAGACCAAGTTCGATCTATAATATTCATTTTAGTATATTTAAGCTAAATAGGTTATTTACCTGTCTCATATAAATAATGTGTTTTCCATCTATGTATTCTATATGGCATACAAGAAATGTTGAATGAGGTAAGAAAAGAACTTCATCTTCATCTTGAGAACAATTTGAGAAGTCTCGTATGCTTCGACCAGTCAATGAATAAATAATAAATTTGGTATTACGTTCTTTGAAATATTGAAGATGTTTGGCATTTTTATCATCACCTTTATCAGAACTACTAAATTGAAGCCATGTTATTACTTCTCCAGGTCGATAATCTTTAAGATCTTTCTCACTCAACTTGACATATCGAACGACTCGACCCCAATAGAAATTAATATGTGAAAGACCTTTTATAAGATAATACATAATCATTGCAGCATTATCATCAACTTGTACATTTTCTGCATTTGTTGCTTTGTTTCTTTGCCATCGACGAGCGAAGATATTAGCATTTAAACTGAGCATCTCACTATATGCACCTGTATAAAATGCAATGGCAAATGCATATGCTTTAGCATCATCTTCATTAATATGTTTTTGCAGAAAGTGACGATGAGATGTTTCAATTGTCGCAAGATGTAGTTGAATAAAGCCGTCTTCATCGAATTTTCTACACGCTTCAACTAAATTCGTAAATGATGGTTTCTTTCCATTAGTCAACATTTGAGTAAGTGTTGGTCCGAAATCGTCTTCAATAACAGTATATTCTTCACGTTTCTTGAGAAGTTGAGTGACATTTTGATACAAAATAACCGATTCAACGTGTTTTTCAACATTTTCCGATTGAAAATCTCTCGATAATGACTTCTTTTGATAATTAGGGATTTTACCAACTGACTGTACGTAACAACAGTGTTGAAGACGCATTTCTGGTTTATCAATATTCTCGTTAGCACTCTGGATGTGCTGAAATACTTCCATATGGGAATAGCGCGAGGACACTCGTTCTACCTCATCTTCGTCCATCATATATCTCGTTTGCATGTTATCAGAAGTCGAATTTCCCATGTTAACGCTACATGAAAGAAAGACGCGTCCAAATGTAGTTTTGTTGTAAAACTCATCCAAATGCAAACGAGGGTGTGAATGTGGCTGTGCATATCTCTGAATGGGACAGCAACACTTACACCCCAACTACACAGCCATACAGGAACACACCACACGTACCCACATCACACCCACCCTCTTCTTGTATGGTTTTATGGTTGAATCGAACGGGCACGTTCAATTTCAAACAAAGAAAAAAAAGTGGCTTCTGTCGTTCTTGCGTAGTTGCTCAACATTTATTCGTTTTCTTGAGGGTGTGAGCAAAGGTGTTAATTTATATTCACGTTCCATTTAATTTATGCGTAGATTAAATTGTCAGTAATTTATATTTATATTAAATATAAATTATTCTTTTTTATAGTTTATATTTAAAAATAAATATAAATCATAACAAATTTAATTTACTTAAAAAATAAATTATGACAAATAGTTTTTTTTAAACATAAATTTTGAGAAAGGCGATTATAAGTTACATGTCAATTTTTGACCAAAAACCTTATAATCGCCTTTAATCTGTTTTAAATATAATTTTTTCTCACTTAATCCTTTAATAAGCGATGGTTCAAATATACAACACTTTTTTTTTCTATGACAGAGCTATAAGAAACTAGAATCAATGACTCTTGTAGAAAGAAGGATGATACTAAATATGTAGGCGGAATTAATTTCTTGTTACTCAAGCTCAAGTCACAGAAATTATCTGTTTCTTTAGTAGGGGTTTTGAAGAAGGTTATCACTAATTCTTGCTTCCAAAAAAGACTCGGTAGACATAGAGCAAACCGAAAAGTTAGGCATGCACTTCGGTTCAAATTTCAATTATGTTTGCACTGTCCTTTCTGTAACAGTGGCCTCGTTGTTTACTTTATATAGCACGTGGTTGTTGCGCCATTCATTTGATACCAAATAAGCGCATAACGGTGCAATGTGTCTTAAGCCAAATAGATGAGTAAGTCAACAATACTGGTATCATACGTACGGTACTCCAGTATTGTTGACCTGGCCCTTGCGCATGATTATGTAGATTACGGTCTATCTGACTGTATCATCAGCATCGAGAAAACTTGATCAACGAAATTCGACTGTTAAAGAACTGATTTATAATTCGCTAAATTATAAATTGAATTATGAATAAATTAAATTATTCTATTTCTTTGTCATATTTCATCCCAGTCAGACAAACAAGGAAAAAAACGTGTAAAACACATTTGAAATTTTAGCGAACGCAAAATACCTGAAAAGTGCGCATATAAACGCGTTCGTAACGCATCAAATTTTGGAAGTTGGCGAATTTTTAGCATGAGAAAATCAAACACAAGAAATGATCAGCTCGAGAAATCTTCAGCACCAAGAAGTGTAGGTGTGGATACTCTGTTCACTCTCGCTCCCATTCTCATATTCGATATCGAGCAACATGCGGCTTTTTAGACGATTTTCATGCGACAAAAGCTTGGTTTCAGTACGGTATTACTATTTCTTCTCATTATTATTCAGAACCCATGAGATGCGCCGAAATAATCTATGCAATAACGTGCATGATACTTTTAAATGAACAGAAATGATCATTTGATCTTGAAAGATGCTCACTTCAACTTTCACCAATCGTGAGTTTTTCTAAATGGATAGATTCATACAGAATCTTACAAAGAATTTCATAGTGCTAAGAAAACTGATCTTTATAAGTTTATTTTTTCGTTTTATGGAATTCACATATATTTTTCGAAAGATCAAAATGGGTGCAACTTTTAAAGAGCGCTCCCCTCCCCCCCCCCCTCAGCATACACTCAAATTTTGTCAGTTTATAGAGAAGACCTCCAGAAGCTTGAAGTTGCAATAAGTTACGGGTTGGCTGCACTTGAGTCTCTCGCGGACAAAAAAAATGGCCTTTTTCTATTTCATTTTCGCATCACTTAATGCGTTGTTTTAAAAAAACAAAATATACCACAAGATGCAGCGTGAAAAGAACTATAATCTACAAA